CCATATGTTATGATAAACATTATGTTCTGATAATCAAATGTTCTGATACTCAAATGTTCTGACAATAAAATGTCCTGACAACCATGTGTTCTGACAATTAAATGTTCTGACAATCAAATGTTCTGATAATCAAATGTTCGGACAATCAAATGTTCAGACAACCATATGTTCTGTCAATCAAATGTTGACAATCAAATGTTTTGACAATCAAATTTTCTGACAATCAAATGTTCTGACAACCATATGTTCTGACAATCAAATGTTCTGACAACCATATGTTCTGATAATCAAATGTTCTGACAATCAAATGTTCTGACAACCATATGTTCTGACAATCAAATGCTCTGACAACCATACGTTCTGACAATCAAATGTTCTGACAACCATATGTTCTGACAATCAAATGCTCTGACAACCATACGTTCTGACAATCAAATGTTCTGATAACCATATGTTCTGATAATCAAATGTTCTGACAACCATATGTTCTGATAATCAAATGATCTGACAACTATATGTTCTGACGACCATATGTTCTGACAATCAAATGTTCTGACAACCATATGTTCTGATAATCAAATGTTCTGACAACCATAAGTTCTGATAATCAAATATACTGACAATCAAATGTTCTGACAACCATATGTTCTGATAATCAAATGATCTGACAACTATATGTTCTGACAACCATATGATCTGACAACCAAATGTTCTGACGACCATATGTTCTGACAATCAAATGTTCTGACAATCAAATGTTCTGACGACCATATGTTCTGACAATCAAATGTTCTGACAATCAAATGTTCTGACAAACATATGTTCTGACAATCAAATGTTCTGACAACCATATGTTGTTCTGATAATCAAATGTTCTGACAACCATATGTTCTGATAATCAAATGTTCTGACAACCATATGTTCTGACAACCATATGTTCTGACAATCAAATGTTTTGACAATCAAATGTTCTGACAACCATGTTTTGACAATCAAATGTTCTGACAACCATATG